TTGAGTTTATTGTGCGGAATTTTGTTATTCTGCGTTATGTAAAATGCATTTTTTCACATCACTAAGCACGTTTTTTCAAATTTAATGACAAGAATAAAACCAATGCTTAACTTAAGTTTAGTTCACTATTTTCTCTCGAGCACAGAGCGTAAAAATTTCTTATTTCCTCTGTGCGTCTGAGAAAACAAGCCAAATTAATATTATTATGGTGCTCTCTTTGAAAATAAACCTCCGAGCACATACAGTGATTAAAGAACAAGAGGGAATCTCATTTATCTCTAAGGAACTGGGAATACGTAGATAAGAGAAAGTTCCCTGAGGTTCGCAGCGACCGACAGCCGTGAACTTTCCAAACTCCATTCTTCTGATTGCGGTCAGTGAAACGACGAACTTTAAAATTGTTCTGTACCCGAACAGAAGGTCCAATCAATAGGATTTATATCATCAAACGATTTATTTAAAACCCTTCCGGCCCAGCTTAATCAGTGAGGTTTGCATTAACAACTTCTTATCACTGAGAGAAGAAAGAAAATGTTAATAAGCTTGTTTAATTATTTTGTTAAAGATTTCTTCGAGCGACGATAATTGAATGATTAAAGGGAGAAGATTTCTGTTACGAATCACATTTACACACTGAAGGAATGCTGTTCTTAAATTACATTGGAACAATTTTAATTGAATTATCTCTTTAACTTATATCTACATAAAGAGTTTGTTTGTTTCAAAATACGAATTCCTGAAATTGTCAGCCGGAATAAAAATATTTGTTTGCATGTTTGATATTCCAATTTTATTAGACGCCACGATACGAAAGTTTTGAATAACAACGTAAAGAAGCAAAATGCAAAGTTATTTTATCAAACTAAATTATTCTACTTCATTTCTGTTATTTGTTGCAAGTATCGTAATAATACAAAAATGTACACACACAACAGGATTAAACAATACTATGTGAACATAGTTCAATATATGTATGAGTAGGTATGTTTACATAACAGGGTCCATTCGTTATGTACCTGGGAAACAACGGAAGCGACATGTCACATGTAGCGCACACAAACGATTTAGTGATAGTCCGCGCTCTTGTTTTGAAAGATTTCAAATATCGATAAGTGTGTGTCGAATGTTGAACGTTTTCGTGTGTTTACGTTAGAACCTAATATTATTGTTATGCATTCCTTTTTTTTTTCAACATATTTTTTTTTCTTTCAGTCTATAATATGACTGCATCATTTGGCGCAGTGACTGGGTAACCGGCTGATGCGATTTCGATTCCCTCACAGAAAAATGATAATGTGTGCGTTTACAAACATAATTCTTATGTTTATTTTGCACCGACGACACAATAGAAAGTACTGGCAAAGGCAACGCGTATTCTTGCGTAAAAATAGTCTTTTATTGACCTTAAAAACTCGAAAGCTTCGGTTCTTTGAAATAATTACAAGATTTCGTATTTGAATTATTTATTATGTTTTCGGCTTACTCACGTAATAATTTGACGAGATACTCGACTAGTTTCAAGCCATGCTAGAGGCCCATATTCATGCAGGCGGGCGAGTCTAGCGTGCCAACAGTGTCGCGCGCGCCGTCGCTGCCGACACCACGGCTAGAAGAAAGTGCGCGTGAATCACGGCAGAGGGCGCGTTGGGCGCGCAGACTCGAGTAGCCAGTAGCAGCGCGACGGTCGCCGAGTCGCGTGTCGCGGAATGCTGCTCATGAATATGGGCCTCTAGCATGGCTTGAAACTAGTCGAGTATCTCGTCAAATTATTACGTGAGTAAGCCGAAAACATAATAAATAATTTAGAATGTCTCACGAAAGTTATAATAAAAAAAAAATTCGTATTTGCTTCTTTTTCCAAGTAACTATGATAGGTACCCAATTCAAAATAAAGTAACTTTAGTTTTGGAACTAGACCTAACTTGGCCAAAGATACACAATGGTTACCCACCCATCCACAATTTGCATTGAAGACCTTAATTTCAGAGTAAAACAATGGCCAGATACAATCGGTTCACAGAGGCATTCCATTGTCAAAGTTCGAATGCCAATTTGAAGTTGGAACACGTTCTGTAACGGTCAATAATCTGATTTGGCCAGTACGAAATTTCTATTCAGTTTATGATATTGTAGTGTGGCTAATGACTCGAAAATTTATATTCGAACTGCTTTTATTTTTTAATAGTGCTGAGGCAACGCACGTGGGATACCGACTATAAGTAATGAACAGAAGACGTCACTAATCCCGAATTGCGCAAATGAAGATTGCGCGCTGATAAGCATGGATGAAAAATCGGGAATGACGAAACTTGATGAGAGAACTGAGATGTAAATATAATAATATGTAGGTAATGTAAACAGTTGCATATGAAAACTTTTGGATGAAAATAATGTGCATATAAACTTTTTACTTATTATTATACATTGGTTTTATTACAAAACGCACCGTACCAATGTTTTGATACGTCATACGTTGCGTAATTTTGTTTGTTTTCATAATGGTTTCATGCCCTTTGCTGTTGTAAGAAAAATTGAAATGGAACCCTTAATAGTACTTTACTCAACAAGAAGAATGAAACCACAGAAACGTGGTTAAAAGCAACTAGAGCAACTTGCGGTTAAGCACAAAAGAAATAATAAATCCACAGTACAACAAAAGATTCGAGTTTATCATAGTTTGTTCCGTGAAGTTAGTAAAAACTTTTGGTCTATAACTTATTTGTGAAGGACGTCGCCTACAGTGCGGTCGTAAGGAATTCGAGGTGTGGAATTTCTATGGAAGTTTATAGCAAAACCACATACTTTCTTATAATAAATTTATACTTCGTCGTTGAGAATTTCATGCTTAAATACCAACAATCATAACTCTATTTTTTGTTATTCAGAAATATTGTTATTATATTATTAAAATAATATACATAATTAATGACAGATCAAGAAGAATGAATGAATGAGAAAGAACTTGTGCAGAATTAATAAAAAATAACTTGATACTTCTTCCTTCGCGTGTTTTAAAACTTGACTTGATAGGTGCATGTATCTTATTTACGCGTGAATAAGAACCATGCCACAAGAACTTTTAAATTGATTTCACCACAAATTTCGTTACACTCTTCCGACGAGTGTACACACATCAGCATTGTGGTTTAAAGTTCGAAAATATGTGGAACTCGACACTTTTTGTGTTTTATTAATTGCCACCGCTCAGGTTGGTGTACATGTTAGTCAAATTTAAATTCGAATTTTTATTAAACTTAATAATTTTCAAGGTAGATAATATTATAAGTTCTTGTTTGATTGCATTTATTTTGAATGTAAATGTGCAACAAATCCGAATCAGTATTATTATTTATTTATCTATCTATCAGTAAAAGATATCATATCAGATATAATATACCAATTCGATAGTGTAGCCATCAGTCTAAAAGTCTAAATAAAAATAAACGACAGGCTGTAATTATACATAAATTATGTGGTTGACAAATCATTAAAAGGGTGTTTTTAGTTTTTTATTGTTATTCAATTAGATGAATCAGCTCATGGCCTGATAATGACATTAATAAAATCAATTTTTATTAAAAATAATAACAACTTTAGAATAAAAAAAGTATTTTGATATTGACCGAACAAGAAACAGTCACGAGTTGAAACACGCATAATTATTCTTTTTACATATATTTTAAAAGAACATAAACAACAATTTTCTACGAGTAGGTACTTAATTATAGTTAAATTGCAAAATCCAAGAAAATTACTCCAAAGACGGGAATAAATTTTCAATTCAACATGCAGTATAAAATAAAAACCAATTATACTGGTCATTATGTCAAAACTAACGTAATTGTTCTCAATTAACTTGCCACAGTTTATTCAAGTTATTTCGTACAATTTGCACTTACTTACCTACGAAAGAATTGCTTGATCTAGGTTAGATGAAAGCTTTTTACCCAGCGGGTTCTGTATGTACCTTCCTAATTTATATTTTGTGTATTTATAAATAAACACTTTCATAATTACAAGTTTAAAAATGTGTCAACTCAAGTAGGTAGTTTGTTAAAGAATATTTTTAAAGATAAATTGCAATTAGTAACATCTTCATCATTATCAGCCTATAAGTGCCCGCTGCTGAGCAAAGGCCTCTTCTCAAACGGAGAAGGTTAGAGCATTAATCACCACGCTTGCTCAATGCGGGTTGGCGATTTGAAACTTATAATTAGAAATTATAAGTCCAGGTTTCCTCACGATATTTACCTTCACCATATGTCAGTGGTGTCTAAATAATCTAGAGAGTACATACATATAACTCGGAAAAGTCACATTGGTACTTGCTAGGTTTCGAAACCCTCATGCATGAGAAGCGGGCTCGTTAACCTCGGGGCCACCACGACACAGCAACATCGTAACTTTCCTTAATATTCTTGAAAATGAAAAATGTCATGTACCTACACAATTTTATTGGGAAAAAATAATTTGGTGAAAAAAAAATTATAAAAAAATATGGGCACCTTTTTGGGAACTCATTATAGAGGTAGACATCATTTTATTTTCGCAGAAATAAAGAATATAAAAAATATATGTAGCTTGCATCGTCTCTATTTTAGTTGGCTGAACTTTAAATAACAGTAAAGGCCTGAGGGCCGTCCATTTGGTATTCAGATTTATTCGAATCAGTTTGCAGTCACAGATACAGCCTTCAGCATCAAATGTCATACACGCTAGAATTCATATTGTATTCAATTCTAACAGTTCATTGCTCAATTATAATACGCTTTTATGAATAATTCATTTTTTTATAAATAATAAAAATAAAATTCATTGCCGGAGTCTGTGTTCAATGAAGGGATATAACCTGGGTGTCTTCAAGGCCCGAGTGAATAGGTTGCTTATGAGTAGGCGAATTCCATCAATGCTTACCACTGCCTGTCCATTACAAATTAAAAAAATGCTACCACAAAAAGTAAGTTGAGAAATGAAGTTATAAATTACTCTGTATAAAGAATATGAAGACGTTAGGTAATTGAAAACAGTAAAAAGGTTTATCATGCCAAAAAAACGGCGGTTAGAAAGTGCAAATTTTATCTGTAGGCATAAACATTTATATATAGGCGTTACATAATACAAAATACCAAAGTGAAACTCACAAAGTAGAGATAGTGCTCCAGTTTTGGTCAAGACTTTTCCCTTTTATTGCCAAAAACCCTCCTAACCGCGAATCGAATGCATCTTTCATCCAATTTTTTATATAACATTTGCAGAAGATATCTATGAAGAACAAAGCTAACCGCAGTTGAATACTGTGAAGTGGCGAGTGAGCGAACAAATGGATGGACTATCTGAAAGGAAGGGCGACCGACTACCAAATAGAGTTAGATAGACAAAAGAGCTTCCGTAATAAGATTCCCATTTCTACGGAACCTTAAAAATACTACAAATAGCACGAACTGCGGCTTGTCACGCAACCAAAGGAATTACATGAATCAGATTGACTTCGAACAAAAAGCTGAACAATTTCCTGTATTCTAAGAGAGTGATGTAAATCAAATCACTACTTATAAGTGCAATTTTAAGGTTCTTTTTTCCTTAAAACTTTGTGTTGGTGGCAATCCTGTGAAAAACTTATTGACTTACTCATTTTAACATTTAATTTCCATTTTTGTAGAAAATCTATACTAATATTATAAAGAGGTAAAATTTGTAAGTTTGTATGTAGGGGGTAATCTTTGGAACCGCTGATCGGATTTCCAAAATTCTTTCACTGACAGATAGCTACAATATTCCTGAGTTCTATAGGCTATAAAACATCACGCTATGACTAAATGGAGCCGAGCAGCGGGTATAACCGCGTGAGAGTAGCTAGTATACAATACTTTAGGTTCATTCACCTAAAGTTTGTAATGATGAACTTATGCATTGAGGACATCAGTTAAACAGTCGCATATTTCTTAAGAATAAATGAACTAGTAGACTTAAATTCAAACTAAAAGTCATTAGAAAATAAAACACAAGTATATTCATCTCGTTGAATCAAAACACATGAACGAAGTTGCACACTCAAGCAAATCTTAGCTACATCTCAAAGCATAAAATATAAATGTAATAAAAACAACCGCGAGACGAGACTAATTAATTTTACGGGTCAAATAAACTACTGCGCTTTGTGGCCAAGAAAATTAATTATAAGATACACACGAAGACATGTGTCATTTTATTTAATTAACTTGTTTCTTTCTTAGAAAATTCAAATAACGAAGGTTTTATATCACTGGCCAATTAAAGTAAATTCCGTTATAGCAATAGTCTAGTAGCAGTAGCAGTTAGCTCGGACTTTTGCGATCTACTTTCACGCAGCTGAGACCTGTGTGGCAGTCACGGAAACTGACCCGAAGGATAGCTGAAAGTTTTCGGGTCCAATGTAAAATCCATACTGCTCTATGGGTGCGAAACGTGGAAGGTAACTAAAGACATCTCACGTAAACTTCAAGTCTTCGTAAACCGATGCCTGCGTCGCATTCTCGAAATTTACTGGCCCGAGATAATCTCCAACATAGAGCTTTTGGAGAAATGCCACGAAAGCCCAATCGACCGACAGATCAAGCGCCGCAAGTGGGGATGGATACGCTCCGAAGGGGTCCTAGCCACATACCTAAGCAAGCCTTGGATTGGGATCCCCAAGGGAAAAGAAAGCGTGGCCGTCCACGGCACCACACCACGCACCGTACTGGCAGAAGCGACGAGCATCGGTATGACGTGGAGTGAGGTGAAGCGTGAAGCTCAAGACAGATCGCGATGGAGAACTTCAGTGTACGCCCTCTGCCCCATCTAGAGGACACAGGATATTAAGTCAAGTTAAATCCCTACTTGACTTAACTTGACTCAGTCAGAGTAGCAACGCGCTAAGGCTTCGCGTGGGTGCAATGCTAATACTAAATTTCGCCACTATTTAATGGATGATATTATTCATATTATTATAACTTCCTCTTAAATCACTCTATCTATTAACAAATCCGTAACGAAACTCGTTGCACAGTTTTAAAGTAAGTTGCGTAAATAAATACGTATTTGTATGCTTAAATCTACGCAACAAAGAGATATAGGGACAGAAAAAGCGAATTTGTTTTATACTATGTAGTGATTCTTTATTTTAACGTAACTGGATAATTTACTACATGGCCGCTCACTAACACTCCAAACCACTCAGAAATTCTGATCCAAATGTTACTTTTTAATTTTTACTTTTTTTATTACTTACGCAGCTGTTAGGCGAAGTATCGCATGACCGTTCAGCCAGCCATTACAAAATTAATGAGGGCTTTACTTGCCCTAAAATACACTTACAAATTCTGAATAGTTGTTTGACGGTTTTGATGGAAAGGTCGTAAAAACTTTGAGATCATTTTGGTCAATTGTAATTCGTTTTAGGTCTATTGATTTTCTGATGTTTGATTTACGATGCATAGGAATCGAAATCATAATTTGTTTATAGAATCCATTAGGTTTATAAAGAAAAAAAGTAATGTACATATGAAAGTAGTTAATGTATAAAAAGTAATTATTAAAACTTCGCGAAAATAAATATTAATATATAATAATTATGTATGTATATTCTAGCTAATCTAAATATTTAGATTTATTCTAAAAGTGACGCATACATTTTTTTATTTGATTTATTTTTATGACATTTTTTATTTATATAGTATAGTAAGCACGCAATACAAAAACACTTTTTGCTGACAGAATAATATTTATGCGTGAATATTTATTTCATTGCAGTCCGGAACAGGGTCAATTGAAGCGTAAAAAAGATAAAAGGTAAAATGAATACTATTTATATTTTTTGTATAGTTTAAAAAATACCTTATTAAATAATTATCTAAAGTTCAAATTACTTCTGCAGACTTCAAGCAGGGGTAGCTCGCCGCCCGACCAGAATTAGACCCGTAATGGTTGAAATTAAATGGTTGGAACGTTACGCGCAATCCTCAAATTGCCATGACACCACCACAGAATTGGGGCCACACGGCATTTTTTATGTGAAACCACCAATAGTGATTGCTAGTACAATGTAAATCATGTATCCCAGCAAAGCTTGGGGCAGAAGAACGAATAGACTGGTTTTTATCCGCATAGTCTGGTCAAATTCTCAGCGATAAGAGTGACTGACTGACCCTACCTCTACCCTTACAATGTTATATTATTATAATGTGATATGACGGCAAAGGATCAGGAGAATTACTTGATGGTAAGGAAAGCTTATTATAGGTAAGGACACCCGCAACGTCAGAGGAGTGACAAATACGTTGTCGGCCTTTTGGGAACTCATTTGATGATGGCATGACACACAATAAGAAAAGAGCTCAAATAATATTTAATGACACATCACATAATTTGTAGACAAGTGAAGAATGACAAGTGACTTCCTATTACTAAAATATTGCCATATAAATAGATTGTACTGAATCCTGTTATCCCGAAATGAGAAATGAGATTAAGAACAAACGGAGTAATACGTATTTGACCCCCTCAGAGGTCAATAAACTCGTACGTCACGGTATACACTTAAAGAAGAATTTCCTAAAAAACTAGAGTTTTTCCGAAGGACTAAGTTTCTAAAAGTGTCTTCTATACAAAGGATTATGAAGATTATCAGCGAATAAATATACGAAAAGACTTTAATTAAAGGAACCCGTACGTTGTAAGTGCTGTTAATAATATATTACCATCGGAGGGTTTACGTTCGCTTTCATAGTATATAATATTTCTATGTCATTCTGGAAAAACCTTGATAGTTTCCTTATGTGAGAAAACTGACGCATATGTTTTTCTTAAAGTGATACAGTGGCATATGAGCAGACGGATTATTTGATAGTAATCAATCGGTGCTGCCCATGGACACCCGCAATACCAGAGAAGTTACGTCTGCGTTGTCGGCCTGTTGGGGTTAGAATTTTGGAGATTAAGGGTCTGGAGGAATAGGAGGAGGGAGAGATGTAGAGACGGCTGACTCGTAAGGCGAAGCAGTGCAGTAGTTGTTTTACGCCGGTTTTCTGTGCCGTGATAATATCCGATCGAGTCAGCCGTCCTGCAGCAAGTGTGGAAGAAGTAAAATAAAAATTATATCAAATATATATACCTATCAGACAGGCACATTCCACATAGTGATGCGAAAATTGAATAAAAAAAATAAACGAACAGGTGAGTTGTTATTATAATAGTAAATATAACAAAGGTTTTTAACGAGAGTATTATGGACTTTCTTGCTCGTTCTCCTCTATACAAATCTACATTGCACTGACGGACAATTCTACTTTGACGTATCAATGGTGCCCTTTTATAGGATTATTTGAAATTAATGCTTTTACTTGTATTCGTTTCCTCTTCTCTTTTTTCGGTTAACTTTATACAAAATTCTTGAAAAAACATCAATATTCAAAAAAAAAATACTGGCAATTAGCAGACACGACATAGCTTATTTGCCTACTAATATTATGTATGTCAAAGGTACTAAAGGTACAAGTAAAGTACTAAGACAAAAAAAAACAAAGACTAAAAAGACATTTATCAAATATAACATTTATCTAAAATTGAAACATTTGCCAGATTAAACGCTTTATAAGTTAAACAATACCCTCTCAATATCACAAAGTACGTAATACATTGACTCTAATCCCATGTAAAAACAAATGGAAGTTTCTCGAACAAAAAACAAGCGCTTTACAAAATGAGGCAAACTGGAGAACAATAAGTCTTGTAATCAAATAAGTGCTGTCTAAGTTACACAACCAACATTTCAAAGGTTACTCAAAAAATAACGCGAAAGCGATTATTTTTATTCGCTTATCATTCTTTTGCAATATTCGATTAATAATATGTATTATTATTAGAAGTTTTATCGCAAATCGAGGGGCATCGTTATCGTTTTGTTCAATCGTTTTCCGGGTTCTCGATATATTTAACTTCCCCTTAACTTGATCGTGAGTAAATAAGGGTCATGGGTTATACTGTTAGTCAAACTTATACTATGAACTGAGTAGGGATATAATCCTGGCCACATCTATATTGTTATTTTTTTATGCTTATCCACAAACCCAGGTTTGTTATAGAGGATTTATGCAAATAGAACGGTAACGGGATTGTCCATTGTTATTGATTGTCATAATACTTATCACTGATGCAAGAATATAATATTAAACAAGCTATTTTTACTTACATTTCCAAAAAAGATAAATATGTAAATTATGTCAAGACCAAGACAAAGCCATCATAAATGATATCAGAATGTCAGTAACCAACACACTAAGTAATTCAGTAAACGGTCCTTCATTATAAATAGCAAGTACCTTTTTAACTAAAACAATTTCGCACTGTTTTTCTTTAATTTTCCGTTCATTATGTCAGCTTTCTGAAATGGAACGACATTTACTTGAACATACATTGTAAAGGCGGCTACGGTTGAAACGAAACGTGAATGCGGGTGTTAAAATTTAAATAAAATTTCGAAATAATCTGTAACGGCTTTCATTGTGGTTGTAGTTTTTTATTTGTTTTTAAACCGACGTACGCGGTAATGGTGTTGGCATTTTGAAATATAAATATTGTTGTGGTAAAGCTTCAAACAAATAGCACTAAAGAGGTAGAAATATATCATACTACTTTCTGCCCGCAGCTTCGTCTACATGTTTGTTATTACAAAATCAGTCTGTGTGTTAATCCAAGGTGTCTATCTACATACCAGCTTTCAATCAAATCGGTCCAGCCGTTTTTGTTTGAAAGAATAACCAACATACATCCGTACATTCTCACAAATTGTCATATTTATAACATTAGTAGGATAGTCACAGCACTACACAATTTAATGAAAAGTCGATCACGTTGTATCATATTGTGCTTGGTATAAAGGTCTAGACTCACCTTCTTTCTCAAGGTACTTTAATATAACTAGTGAGAAGCAAGTAGATAGACATTGTATACATTATGTTGCTCTACACCTCTACTTACCATTAAAAAATACTATTGAAAATATACGAATTTGTGAATGAAAAATTAATATGAGTTCGCGGGAATTGTTTTTTTTTTGAGGAGCGATATTTAACAACTGACTTTTCCCGCCCTGGATAACTCTTACTGACTAAAAACCAGCCCGGCTCTTCTCCTACTCTTAGCCTGGGTCGCGGTACATAATTACCACAGCTCGGACCAGCCACTGCCAAAAAATCTTTTGTTTTTAAATGTTATTTGACACGTATAAAAATAAAATAATTATATATTACTTTTTTTATTTTTTGTGCATCAATGCCGAAACAACTTATTGTATGGTTTCTAAACGAATGCATAAGAGCTTCTTTGAAAAAATTAATAGGATTGTTAGGCAAACAGGCATCCGGGTCACCTGATGGTGAGCAATCGGGAGCGCCCATAGACACGCACAACAACTAAAGAGTAATAAGTACCATCGGTTTAGGTGTTACGAATTTGAGAATTGGGTATGTAATCTCTTTCAAAAGGCGAAAAACAGCGCAAAATTTAGTTCACGCCATTGTCCTATGAAGCTGTGTTATCATCATTCCTTCTTGGTACGCCCATATGTGCCGAAATACACCATCAAAACTTAATAAAAATCATCGTTTAGTACACCATAATTTAAATTAACCTACACTGAACAAACAATGTCATCACTTATTAAAGATTAATATAAACAATCTCTTATTGGATAAAACGTGTAATTTTTCAACAAAGAAATATTATTTCTCCAAAAAGTTTCTTTTACAAGTATGGCCAATTTGGACACCACCCAAAACAAGACGTGGTGAACTTTCTTCAACAATA